ATATATAATGGTGAATAATAAATATAGATAATTTGGTTTCTAAATAAAAACCATTACTTGTTCTTCCGCCATATTCTTTTGAACAAACAAGCACAGCAAAAGTTCTAAGTAATATCTGATGATAGATGTCAAGACGTTGTCGGCTCGTCGGCGGTTTGATTGACAATGATTGAGGATCCTGATCGAGGGTGGCTTAAATACTAAACCTAGATGGCGCTGTTTTAGTTATCGCTTACTGAAAATAGTGTGTATTTATGTTTTCAAAAACAAGAAATTTGTTTTTATTTGTTTGAGTTAAAAATATAACAATGATAAATTAACGATTTTTTTTACACAATTAAAGGAACTTTAGCTATGGAAAAAAAAGTCACAGGCCTACTAAAACTTTTCTAGGTGTACTTCAAAACTTAACGTTAGCGTTAATATAAAATTGAAATTAAATTTGCATGAGTACATACCGGTATTTTATTTTGACTTCAGCAACCTAAGACCATTTTTGGTAAAGTTAAACCATAAAGCAGTGTTTCGTCCTTCATAATATTGCACTGATGATATCTGCTTCATACGATCATGCTATATTGGCTTGCCTCAGATGACGAATTATGAAAAGTAATAGGTTTGGTACCTGGAGCTCTGCTGATGATTAGTGCCCAAAATGTATTACAAAAAACGTAAATATAATAATGACATACTGATTATTATTATTATTATTATATATTTTTCATTTAATTATTTAGCTGTTCCAAGTTTCTTTAATTCTTTCTTCCTGCTATTTCATATTGCAGTAATTATTGATATACTAAAAAAATAATAAACATATGGCCTTAGGTACTCGAACCTTTGCTTAGAACTTTTGTAAACAGCACATTATGTGCATTGTATACTTTAACCAGTGGCGCATCTAGAAGTTTTGAAATGAGGGTGCTGATGGGGGAGGGACGAAGGTTAAGCAGGGGGATAGATGATCAGCTGAGGGGCGCTAATTCGCTAATTAAGGTGAGTTTAGGTGAATCTTAGCAACTT